CCCCCCCCCTTGGGTTCTCTTCACATCTGGGTCTTCTGGGCCGAAGGCCGTGGACGTGGTCGGTCCCACAGTGGTGTTAGAGGGGCAGCCTTGCTTCCTCCCCTCCCTCCAATATGTGAGGAAGCCTTGCCTGGCTGTGTGATCTCCGTCCCCTGCAGGCCCAGATGTGTGAGCAACCTTTCTCCCTCTAAATATGTTGAGAAGGAGTGTGACCCATTCTCAAAATAGAAGTGTACCCGTAATGGGAAGGCCCATCTATATTTAATAGAATGTTTAGTTAAAGTTTGAAGAAGGGGCCTTAGAATTCTTCTCTTCTGCATAGTAGTAGGGGAGATGTCTGCATAAATTTGTATCGGGTGGGATGCGATCTGTAGGTCAGGTAGACTCCGGGATCCCTCCACTGTTTGATACTGTTTCATGTTACTCTTCCCTTCCCTATTCTATTCAGAAAGCCAACCACTAGCCTGAAACTATTTCATCATCCGACTCTTCTGCTTGGTACTCCCCCAGCATCCCTCCCTCACCTGTACAACACAAGCTCTCTTCAATTTTGTTGTATGAGTGACATGTGTATTTGTCTCATAACTTTGGCAATAAACAATAACAATGTATTGAACCAAAAATCGTCGATATACAACATATATACTGTACAGTGTGTGTGCATATACATGGCTGCAATGTGGTGAATCAATACAGCCTGGTTCACGATCTACCCTATAACCTGGGATTGTCAATGAAGGAGTAGAAGTTCACTGAAGGGGTTCTTCCTCTGCTCTGTCCTCTTGTAAGAATGTTACTAGTGAGCATTCTGAAAAGCAATGTAGCTTGATTAACTGGCCCTCCCCCTCCCTGAGTGCTTCTATGTAGGGGTGGCAGGAGTGGAGCAGGGGTGGCAAATCAATGCTAGTTTTACATAGTAATACATTTAATTTTCTAATTAACAGAAAACTGAACATATTGTTTTTTAATATCATTTTGATTTTCAGTTCTAATGCTTCACCCGATGTGCAATGGCCTGTGCATGGGGCATATACTAGTGGAACAGAGAAACTCGATTTTGTGTCTGCACCAATATAGGTGGTGATCAACAAGTGATTACAACTTGGTTTGCTGAACTCTTCAAAACAGCATGCACCACTTCACCATTGAAGGCAATGGGCATAAGACAGCATGCAGATAAAACGTATGCTAGCAGAATAAAAGACTTCCACAAATAATCATTTTAGATTATCTGTAAAGGTCTGACTATACATTTGTCCTACAGCTTCTAAGGTGACCTAATTGGGGTAATTATTCCAAATATATTTGCCCTTTTTCCTCCACAGTCATACAGGTGAAACTCGAATAATTAGAATATCGTGCAAAAGTAATTGCAGTAAGTGCTGCAAAAGGGGCCCAAACCAAGTACTGAGTACATATGCATGCTTGTACTTTTCAGAGGTCCGATATTGTTCTATGTACAATCCTTGTTTTATTGATTGCATGTAATATTCTCATTTTCTGAGATTGTGGATTTGGGGTTCTTGGGGTTTTCATGAGCTGTAAGCCATAATCATCACAGTTATGACAAATCACGGCTTGAACTATCTTGCTTTGCATGTAATGAGTCTATCTCATATATTAGTTTCACCTTTTAAGTTGCATTAGTGAAATAAATGAACTTTGCACGATATTCTAATTATTCGAGTTTCACCTGTATATATTTGATTTTCCATGCATTTGACTCATTCAGCTTCCAAATTTCTTACATTTCAAGTATTCGGAGTATGACTGACCCCTTAGCAGATCATGAAATCTGCAGGGCACATTCATCAAACACGGAGAAAATTTGTTTCTCTGCTACATTTAATTCCTCTTTGATATTAGAATTTGCCCTTCTATCCTCCATAAATAATCATGGGTGACTCATACTATCCCTTTACTTGACTCCCTTAGACTCTCTTCTTAATGGTATTTGCTTTTCACTATCAGAGGCATATTTCTGTGTGTTTGTCTTTTTAGGTCAGAAAATATTGCCAGTGATGTCAGTCCCACGGTTTGCTTTTTCTGTGAAGTCTGTGTCATTTGTGCCTGATTAATGTCAATTGTTTGTATTTTTTTAGATTTCGATGTATTTATTTTTAGAACAGAACAGAGGCTTTCAGCCACTCCAGCTGTCTTTGCCAGAAATACTTTCTAGCCTTATGCACCTAGGACTTTGTTGCACATATTGTTCAAAAGCTTATAATTTTAAACACAGTATTCATTTTTATAACTGCAGTGTTTAATTAAACACATACACCTATTTACCAAAAAGTGTATTTATTCTTATATTAATGCACAAGCATAAAGTGACTTTGGTCATATGATTTAAACCTGAAAAAATGTATCCTAGTGAGGTACAAGTTTAAAACTACAACCACCATCTGGGTGGCTTGCTATGGGACCCTCTGGAGGTAGGAGGGCCCACCAAGTCTAGGTTTGTGCATGGGTGGGATTTTGTCAGAGCAGTGTTTCTCTTTCCATAACCATTTTTTATTGTTTCTAATCAGCCTCTCATTTTCCTAGGCAATCTCCCTCGGTTTCGGTAAGGCAATCTTAATCCATATGGTAAGCTATTTAGAACAGTTCTCCTACTTTATACCATGGCACACTTTGCATGCAGTTTATTCATATCCCTCAAAGCCCCAAACTTTTTTTTTAGTTCTCAACCAATTAGGTACGATGTAGAACTGCTGGCAAGTTTGTATTCTTGCTTGTGTCCTCACTGGATCGATCTCCTTCATTTCCTGTCCCCGTGACACCAACACAAAAAAAGGATGTGGGTGTCACCGACATAAGAGACAATAAAAACCTGACAGCTGTTTGAATCCCTTCCCATTGTACTAAATATATGCTCTTTTGTTGCTGTCTCTGTGCCCATCAGACAGATATCCCATCTCTTGTGCATGTGACTCCCTGTCTCTGGGACAGGAAGTGAGGATACATTTCCCCAGCAGGAAACATTCAGAGAAGTGATACACCTACATGTGCAGTATATATATATATTTCCCTTTAACATATAACACTATGTTTTTACATGCTGAGTGTGGTCTGCCAATGCAGCAGCGAGCTTAGCAGCCTGGCCAGTGAAATACCAGCCAGGCAGTAACTCTACATATTAATGAAAGAAATGAATTTGTGATAGTAGGTGTAGCTCATAAAACATTTTACCTATACAATATATATATATGTATATGTATACACACACACAGTATATATTTATTGCCTGTTGTCTTTTGTTTAGCATGCAACTAATTTACAGCAAGTAGATACAGTAACTACTGACAGAAACGTCAGATATCACTAAACCTGGAAAAACTTTATTTGTGGAAGAAGGTTCTGAACCATGCTTATTGACAGGAGACATTTATAAATTGAAATTTTTCGTTTTTTTTAATTGCCATTTTTATCATCACTCCAGAATGCCAGAAGAAGGATTATAGTTAAAGCATGGGGAATATTTCAGGGTATGACCCAAGATATTCGGAGATCTAAGCAATAGAAGCTGTAAACCTTCTAGTGCGGCCGTGTCCTTGTGCATATTCTGTAGTCTCTGCAGTCATTATTGGCTCCCAGGAATATAGATCTCCAGAACACAGCAAAATCAATGTAACATGGCTATTGCATTCATCTTCTAGGTTGTGCAAGCAAGGCTAAGCCTTTTCAGGACCATGGAGAGCTCCCATGAGCCTGCCATAAGCAGCAGTAATTGGTGACAACAGTCTTCTCTTAAAGGGAATCTATAGCCTTTAAAATTGGAATGTAAATCTTATCAATGTGTGTAAGCATTTAGTCTTACCGTCCAAAGCTTGCCATATTCTATGCAAATTATAATCTACTCACACTCCCTGACATCAAATGAGCTTATAACCCATAACACACTAACACGTATATTACCTACACTACATGGAAACCAAACAAAATGAACCTGTGGGATAAGGTAAAACTAGGAACGAAAAACCTTTGTAAACAGTTAACAGCATAGGATGGTAAAATATACATCTAATTTTAATAGTCACTGAAGCACATACAGCAGCAGGTTTACAGTGCCTTCACTTCTAGGCAGTGAATAATAAGCCCACATTTCCACAATGCAACGGCCAGCAGCTAAGTGGTCTATTGGCAGGCCTTAGCATAGCCACAGTAGGCATGCCTATAGATATACAATGTCTGACTTTAAAAACATCAGTATTTGCAGAGGCATTTCAGGGGAACTGTGGACTGTTCTGTGATAGAACTTTTGGAATAAAGTTGTATGTTGACAGCTTATGCTAGCAAGTCTATTAGGGTTTCTGGATCACAGCTTTAGGTTTTTCTATATGTTATCTTTAACTAAGTGAAAACATAGGTTAACGTTAACTTAGTTTGAGTTCACGGTCATTTGTCTGAATAAGAACTACTTTTCTCTTTACTTGCAGCTCAGAAAGGAGTCCGATGCCTCTCTGAAGGAATTTAGTGAAGTATTGGGAGAGTAAAATATACTCTTTCCAATACTTATACTCGCCATGAACACTGCAGCTGTCACAAGCCGACTCTACATACCAATAGCTGAATGATCGCAAGACCGCTGATGGTTCAGCTCACGGTCTCCTCCCTGCAGAGAGCAATGACTGTCAGTCACCGCTCCCCGCAGGGATTCCTCCCTCTCTGTTCCTCCAGTGCTCATTGGAGGGACAGACTTTGGTGTGCTGACTTTGGTTCACAGGAGGACATTAGTGAATCTACTTTTGTGACCCAATAGAGAAGTAAAGCCAAAACAAAGGTTTGGCTTTACCTCTCTTTAAGAAGTATCTTAAATACATTTCAAATGCAAGTTTAGTGCACCTGAAATCAAGTTGCATTTGCCCATCTACACAAGTTTTATTTAAGTGTTTGTAGGAGGAAGGTAATGTTCCAGGAGAAAAGCACAAGCTGCATACATTAATGAACATATCTCTGTGTAAATACCTTGTTTTATTCTTTATATGAGTGGTCACATGACCGTAATGCTCTGGCTCCTCTGTGCAGATGTGCCAGCCCGATAACGGGCTGAATTACATCATGATGTCATTGACAGCAGGGCAGGGAATTCCCTTCCACGAGCCGCAGCAGCCGCTCATTCAATACGATAGGATTGGAGATTTAGTGCTCATGTGACTGCTCAGAAGAAGAGTAAAAAAAAGTTTTTACACAGATATTTCTTAACAACTGTATGTGTAAGAGCAGTTGGGAGGCAAGGATTCAGATGTGGATTATTTTAGCCTTTCCTCCTACTTTAAGTATCATAATTATGCACATAAAGAAAACAGTGCCAATGTTAATGAATTTTGCCAACCACAAACACAAGTATTTATGAAGGACTTGTGCACTTCGTTAGTTAGAGGACAATGGTACATACCCCAAGAGCAGGCCGCTTGGAGGGACTGGAGTCCTGGCGAGTATGTGCTCCATGAATCCTGTGCCTCTGCACTAGTTCATCAGCTGATGGATCTGTCCAGTAATGATCTGCTGTTTTTAGCTTTGTGTATTCAAATGTACAAGGTCCCACTGCAGAAAAACAACACAAGGAGAAATGAGTCCACTGTGTGAAGAAAGAAACCGCATTACCGCAGTCCTTGTTCTTGAACTTGTCATTTTTTCCCAACACAAGAAAATAATAAATGTGCACATATTGTAGTTATTTAAAGACCTTGGTTTGTTTAAAGACCAACTGCAGCCAACAGTGGAAATAAATCACTGAATGCTAATTGTAATGCTATTCAAGAATTACTGGAAGAGAGAGAGTCCATTCAGTTTACTTTAAAGGAGCGATAGTGAAAAAAAAACAAAAACAAGTGATTGATCCATAGAATGATAGCATTCAGTTCATAATTTCTTTCTCATGTCACATGCCAATTTTTATTTGCTTCTATTTACATGCAGACAAAGCTGTCCAGCAAAAATGACACTGCTAGGAGTGTGGCTGCAGAAAAACCTTTTTTTTCTTTAGTAATCTGGTTTTCTGCCTACTTACAGCAGTCATTCCTTGGCAGTCCTGGTATGTCCTTACACTTCATGGTAGTCCTTACACTTTTGAGTAAGCAAATTTCAGCAGGAAGATTGAACAGCCTTTTTTCGGCAGCAGGTGGATTTAGACTCTATAGCAAAGAAGATGGAGCCAGGAGCAATAATGAGGAGCTGCTGAAATTCTCAGGTAGTAGGTGATTCAGCACACAGAGTTAACTTCTAGATGAAATGTCATATTTAGATTGGCTGATCTTCTAAATCCCAACTCCATAGGAATTAAACATGTTTGCTTGCAGTGGGGCTGCCCCAGCACTGCAAGGGTTAACTGGCCGTTTACGCCTAGGGGACAGGAAAAAGCTGATTCCCACTTCCGCTGGTTATCTCAAGGCTTCCAGACCAGTTTCCGCAGCCTCTTCTCCCCCTTCACTGTGGCGGTCTAAGAATGCTAATGTAATTAAGTACAATGGAGGCTTAATAGCCCTGCATTGTATACGATGATGCTCACTTCTGGGTGAGTGGGGATCAAGTAAGTACAGCAGCTTTTTCCTGTCTCCTAGGCATAAATGAGCTGTTAACCCTTGCAGTGTGGGGGCTGCTCCAGTGCAAGGGAAAATGTTTAATTTTCCTGGAGCTGGGCTTTAATGTATTTAAAAAATGATCAAATATCAGCTTCTTTGATCAAACCCTTTCCTCTATATGTGTTTGGTACATTAGATAAGAGATATGCCTTACCTAATACACCTTTCTTAAAGGCAAACTATAATGGTTTGGGGTTAATCCTATTTTATAATAGTTTTTTTTTTTTTTCAATAAGTTATTATTTTAGAAATAAACATTTATCACTGGGTGCACTTATGGAAAAGCATTTGCAAAACACTATGTGGGGAATTTATCGAAACTGGAGCAGACAAAAACTAGAGAAGCTGTGCATGGCAACTACCCAGTTTCTCTCTTTCTGTTGGTTCAGTTGAGACTTGAAAATGAAAGACAGAAGCTGATTAATTGCCATAGGCAACTGCTCCAGATTTTGTCTGCTCCTGTTTTGATGAATTCCGTTCTATTGGTCTTCTAAAGCACAGCAGTATCTTTTTATCTTTCATACTGTCTAACTGAAAAGTCTGTAAGAAGTCTTTTGAATAGAAGGAAGCAACAAGTGGGGAAAGGGAAAGCTTCACTGACTTGTATAGCTGTGTGTTTAATCTGAGCTTTACAGAACAGAGACGTGTTTTTTTCAATAAAGTAGCTAAAATTACCCTGAAAACAAGAAAAAAAGGACCTAAAGCTCCAGTTACTGAGTGGACATAGTAAACATGAAATATTCGTATGTAATAATTATGTTTACCTGTCTATAAAATGAAAACAGATTTTTTTTAATACTGAACATAATAAAGAATGAAATAGAGAATACTGTATATTTCCCCTTTAGATGCCTGGACACAACAACATTTTATTTTAGCAACTACAAAATAGTAAAAACATAAATTAAATGCTGTATATAGTGTTTTAAACCTTCCCTATCAGAGAATTACAACATGCACATCTGCACATCTGTATTACAAATTAGGGTTCTTCCTGGAAATCATCCATGTAGGAAAAAAACGGACCCCCTGTTCACTCCACATTCCAACAGAACACAGAGCGATAATTCAAAGATTTCACTACCAGTATCACCTGCTGGATGCATTTGTTATTGCTGCTTCATTATAAGATGCAGTTATTCTCCATGGTATCACAGGAGTCTGCTAAGCGCTGCAGTAGGATGGAGAACACTGCTACTATTAATACCTACAGGGAAAGGAAAATAAGACCTGACCCTTAGAATACGGAGGCTCTATAATATTCTTGGAAATCCTCTCTTATATTATGATATTTATTTCACCAGGCAGGTTATATCTGTTATAGAAATGACACTTATAGGACCTTCACTGAAATTACAGCCCAGTTAATTTCTTATATCACAAACATTTACACTATAATGCACATGGCTAGAACTAATAAACTCTGATTTTTGTTTTAGTCTTACCTAAAAGAACTGCTAATATTGGACCGCAAACTGGATCAGCCAATAAAGCTTCTTTCTCATAATATTTACTGTAGAGATAAACAAATAAAAAAATAATTATTGTATCCACTGACATTATATACATTATAATCATTGTGCATTAACAACGATTCTCGCACAATGCAACCTATAGCCGTTAGTGGCGTGATCCGTCGACCTCTACTTCATTATTGTGTCTTGTAGTGAGGTAGCAAAACAAGTGTGGTAGGGTCGAGCAGGATGAACAACAGAGCACTGTGGGGGACGAGGAATCCAACACTCCTGGAAGAGATGGATTCTGAAGATACTTCAGGCAATGGACTTTTTTGTATTACAACTGAAATTGAGGGTAACGTGCCAAAGATGAACATTTACTACGTTTTTTACATTTTAAGAAAAGAGTGTCTGTAAGTGCCATAGCTCACGAGCTATATTAAAGAAAGTAGTGTGAATCTGCTGCAGCAACACTGTTACCCCCCTTGTTTATAAAGCCTTGGTCCAATGTTACAGTTATGATCTGCTACGAAGGACACGGCAGGACACTGTAACACTCATGTTCTTGTATGTGTCACTCCATCCCCAGCTGAATGAGGAAGGAAGCAATGCCTTACTAATCCAATCAGAGAGGGAGTGACACATAATATTTATTAATCTAACAGATCTATCTATCTATCTATCTATCTATCTATCTATCTATCTATCTATCTCTCTATCTATCTCTCTATCTATCTCTCTATCTATTCTCTCTACCCTTCCTTCCTATTCCTTATCTTGTTTAGCATGTTTTTTGCTCATTAAGGAAACACAACTGGCTTTTGAATTTAGATAATTTTATACAAGCTGATATGTTATGAGGAAATGGTGAAAGAATGTCATGTACTGTATATTGTTAGTATAGAAGAAGGAAATTTATACTTCAGTAAATTAGCTTTGCTTTGTCAATAGTTCTATATTTTCACACATTATGGAGCATATTACGATCCACTCTATCTTTGCTATAAGGCATGACTAAAGTAATGTTGAAGATTTACAGCTGAATATTATTACCTCTTTCAAAGAGGATTAATATGTAATTCTTTAGACCTTCTTAACTGAAATTGTCTTTTGTTCATTTATACGCTTTGCACAGCTGGATTCATCCACATTAAAGCAAGTGAGCAAACTGAGGAATTTGAACCTTTCAGTCTGGGTATAATAAATGGTTTCTACACAACAGAACAAAATGGGTAATTAGTTATATTTACATAAGTCATACTCTATGCAATTGCCCCCCCTTGCCCCCCTGTAGTGACGCCTATGCTCTACTGCCCTGCTTTACAATATCACATTTAGATCACTGTCCTTCCTTATAATATTAAGCATATATTAGATCGCTATACAAATGCTGGTATGCTTTAAAGGGAAAGTTTAGTCAATTTTTAATGTCCCTGTATTTTTACAGGGCTATTCACAAAAGGGTGAAGAGTTTGGAGAAGACAGGAGAAGTTAACAATCTAGTGCAACATAGCTGAACTGGAAATTGAGCTGAATTGGAGAATTTTTCCAGATCAGCTATTTTAGCCTATATTGTTCACTTGTCCTGCCTTCTCCAAACTCTTCACCCTTTTGTGTATAACCCTGTTAGTTATTGTTGGAGTTTTTGGAAACTTATTAAGAAAGCCACATGAAACACACCATGTATGCACTATTTTACATTTGCAATTTCAGAGTGTTTGCAATAAAAAATATTTAACTATACCACTGCAGGTGTTCTATTTGTTCGTGTAAGTTTACTATTATTTTGTAAGTGAAAAAAAAAAAACCTGTTGATCCTACTAGAAATCCAGTGAGCTCCTAACTTCCTGTGTAAATCTCAAGGATTGTTATCGGGTCTGACTAGATTACTATGTTATGAAGATGGGGAGAGGGGGTGGTATTCTGTAGTCCGAAGCAGGAGCAAACAGCCTAGGGGGACAATGCTGCTCCTCCATAGATATTGTACAATCAGAAAGCATTGCCACTTTAGACCGCAAGTGGATTACTGACAGAATCTCCAGGTGAAAATAAAGGAAATGTAGCAAGGAAAGGTGCCAGATGATAACTTTAGGCCCATGTCACAGCAATTCTGTCACTTATAGCAACACAAGAGAGCGGTTGATTACTGCTACAGAGTCGCTCCCTTGCTGGCTGAACCAACAAGGTTTTGCTCCCTTTGTGGCAAGCAAGATTCTGGCAAGAGAGTGATGCATAAAGAGTAAATGAGAGCTCTGTCTTGAGATCCTCTTGCTGGCTAGTTGCCACCAGCAACAGGATCACTGCTGTGATGTGGATCTTAGGTTACTTGGCAGCACTGCTGGAACTTGCCTAATATACAAGACTTCTGAGGTTAAAGAGAACTTCCCATATGAGAGCACCCCAGTGCTAAGCACTGCCACCTAGGACAAGGGGTGACTTAGCTGAAACAAATTAGAAAGTTTACATTTGTATAGAAATATATCCAGGCTGATAGAGCCAAGCCACTCAATGTACTACCACCATAGGGTGCTTACTATACTGGGGAAAGGCAAAGTGAACAATTGTCTTACTAGCTCACCCTGACCCATTTATTTTCCCCTTTCCCACACTTCCCTGCCCCTCCATTCCTTTGGGAGTCAAACCTTGTGTTGGATGGTGTTGGAGGTCACACAGGGTTGATGATGTCACCAGTGGTGTAACAATCACCATATCGACCCAAGCGGCCGCTATGGGGCCCGGGGCACAGGGGGGCCTAGCCAGGACATTCCTGATGACAGTGATCTGTGCAGTGGCGCGTTCCTCTCCACTGCCGCTGCTGAGTCAGTGAGAGCCAGCAGCGGTGGTGGAGCAGGCTGGAGCCAGCAGTGGAGGAGGAGGCAGGGCCTGGGGTTGGCATCAGAGGAGGAGGTGGGGACCGGCGATGGGCGGAGGAGGCGGGGCTCATCACCGACGGTGGAGGAAGAGGAGGCGGACAGGTAAGCAGTGTGACCAGCCCACCTAAGGGTGACCCTGCAGAGCCCACCTTAGAGAATCTATTGTGGGCTCTGCAGGGTCACCCTCAGGTGGGCTGTGTGAGATCTCAATTGGGCTCTGCAAGGGGTGTAACTAGAGATCAAAGGGGCCCCATACAAAATGTTGCTATTTAGGCCTGAGGATTACATTATAATGGAGAAGAGCTGGGTATTTGTAACAGCTGTGATGGAGCAATTGTGTAGTAGGAGACTGTAGAGAAGGAGAGTTTACTTGGCTTGTGGGGAGGACTTCTATGTCACTCTGTCTCTGACCACTATACAAAAGTCATAAAGCACTTCTTGTTACTTTATGACAGACTGCATTTTTTGTTGGCTGTTTGTATTATTTGCTTAATCGAAGATAAAAATGATACAGTGTATAAGAAAGAGTTTTGTATCATGGCAGAACCTGCTGTGATGTGTATTGGTAAGCTGAAGGGTGTACATTTCCTTGAATAGGAAGAAGATGAAAGAGCTGAATGATGAACACAATGCTGAATCTATTTGAATTTTAATACAGTGAAAACAAGTTGGAAGTTAAGTGTAAGAATTATAGTACTCAGCTGGAAATCATCTGCTTATACATTAGCTACAATTGTGGTTTGATAGAAAATAGACAATAATTCACTTTATTCTGCATTCTCTGCGTGAATCTCTGCTGTTCCCTGCAGCTGACAGAAGACATACAAAATGGCAATCTTCATTGAAATCTTAATCCTTAAAGTTAATACCAACACCGTTTTGTCTTCAGTAGAACTTCAATGCAAAATGATCCTGTCATCAAAATTAAATTGCTCAAAAAGATTTTCCTGTAAAAATTAGAAAATGTGTACCTTTCCCACTGTCTGTGCTGCTAAACGCAGCTCCATTAACGAGAAATGTTCCTCTGAAATCTGCTGAGAAACTAACACTTATGGGAGTGTCATTCTCCTATGTCCCCGGCAGTGTTTAGTGGTTCCTTCCACTGAAATCCACATCACTACAGGACACATTAGTGACATGGCTGTCAGTCGGAGAACCACTGGCCATTGCGGTGGACACAGGGATCAACACTCCTGGAAGTGCCAGTTTCTCTTCAGTCTTTACAGGAGCTGCAAATCAGCAGAGCTGGAAAGGTATTTACTCTCTTCTTTTGCAGGCAAATCTTTTTGAGCAATTTATTTTGACAACTGATTTGCTTCAAAGAAGCCAGTTTCCCAGAGTTGGTATGGCTCCAGACAGGAAAGCTTATTGCGCTAACTGGCTGTGGATGCCCAAAACCAACAATGGAAACATATGGACCACATATGCAGTAAATGTTCTCACAAAGGGAGAACGTGTTGTTCTTCTGAAACTGCCATGGGATTGTGTTAAATCACCAGCTAGTGAAGTCAGGATTAGGTTGGCAGTCCTGGATGTTGTGCTCTTAAAAACAAGTAACCAATAGCAGCACTCATTTCTGATCTCACAGGTTTCCTTTAAGGGTAGTGTTAATATATAAACTTTGCTTTTAACGTTTTTCTTTTACATTTATAAGCTGCAACCTAAGAAATAAATTGTTGACTGGCTGAGGGCCGATTCCCACCAGATTTGTTGGGGCTGCGCTGGCCATTTTTTCCAGTGCAGCTCCAACACAAGACAAGGCAATTTACATTGTCACGGATGGGCACAGTTCACCCCACCATGTTACGGTAGTGTGCAACACCACAGCAACACCTGAAAAAAAGGACTGCATGCAGTACCGCCTTCCATCACGCTGTCCCCATAGAACCTAATAAAATGTCACTTGTTACAATTCAATAAAGTAAAAAAAAAAAGGTAAACAGTGCTGCTGTGCAATGTAGCGCATTGGCTGATGTGAATCGACCCTGATAGAGCAAATCAAATTAAAACATTGTAAACAATGTTACTCTGTATCCACCAGGTTTTCTTTATTCATACTTGTGTAGTTTACCTTAAGTCTCACTAGTAGTTTATATGTTGTAGATATCGGTAGAGGTTGCTAGTATATAGCATTGTTAAGACACAAATTACTCAACAGCACAAATTGTAATGGAAGTGGTTAAGTACAATTATGACAAAATGCCTATCTCAATAGACAATTGTAATATATATGTTAATTTGCTTTTTGCTCGTTTGCCTTCCTCAAAACCTTACTCAGAAATTGGTGCTAAGCACCCCCCCTCATATCCGAAGTACGCATTAGAAATAGGAAACAAGTTGGCGCCTCCTCTTCAGACAACACCCAAGACGAAAGATATAAACATCTTGGCAGGAAGTTATGCATAAATAGATCTAACCAATGATAAGCTAGAATATATAAACTAAAATACTTTTCTGCAATGCTACGCTCAAATATACACATTCACCTGTTAAATAAAAACCCTGAAAAGGAGAACAATAAAGCAGAAGTGATTTTACACTGATTGGAGTTGGTGTGATTTTCATTTTCTCTCTGTGAGAGTATACTCTATTGAATCAGGCCAGGCGGCAGATATAAGTACGGAACTTTTGATCCGATCTAAATTTGGAACCAAGTCCAAAACAAAATGAGCACACACAGTACATGTGATGCTATATGCAAACATACACTGTTGGTGAGACACAGATTTGTCAAACACTGATCTAAATGAATGTGTCAGATAAAAATGTTCTCAGTGTATATATAATACAGCATGTAACCCAAAACTAAGGGGATGACTTACAACATGTTCTCCCAGCGCATAGCTGAGCGAATAATGTTTGCCGCACATTACTGCCACTAGATGAAGCCGAAGAAAATTCCTATGCTCCTGCTTAACATATAGTGGCAGTAATACGCTGCGAACACTGTTAACGCATTATAAATCAGCCCCTAAATAATTGGTATAGTAGAGTCAGTGAAAATAAAAGTAAGACTTCTTACCTGCAGTTATCCACAATGTACTGTATAATTTTATCGAGGACTTTTTCTATTAGTGCCGTCCGCACCCAAATGTGCTTAAGGGCTTGTGGAGTGAGAGTGACCGTCCTTCCTGTAGTGGAACTTTGCCTTTTTAAGGACTCTTGGCCATTGGAGAAATTTTTTCTAGGAAAAAGAAGAACATTTTAGCAATGATGCACTTACACTAAGTGGTTTTATGTTCTTGATATTCCCTTCATTATTATGTGTTACTAAATATTATTAGCAAAATATTAGAGATCAGTTCTCTGCAGGATTGTGGCTACATAGCATGTATGGATGTATGCGAGACAGATGGGAGACCAAAACATACCATGTACCAGCACAAGACTGACGCCTGATTCAACTACTTACAGTTGGATCAAGAAATGCATACATTGGTCTATAGATATTCTTTAACTTTTACACACACCCTGATTATTGTTCTCAGGGGAAGAACTGATCGGCCACAGAGCCACAGAGCTGGAAATACTCTGCCTCCATACGTCATATGTATAAATATCCACATTCAAGTAATATCGAGAGATCTGATGTCTATGGATGACTTTAATGTAATTTAACAAATGTTGACTGGAAGGGAAAACAATACAAACAGCACAAAATACTGAAACCTTTTTTTAAGCCACGTAAAACAAAAATGATCAATGTAAACATCTTTAATATACCTTCTAAAACACCTGTCTATTTTGTTCTTGAATATGAAATGCTTTACCAATTTGACATTAATGTGAAATGGATCATAGTGCAGCTTAGAACATACAGTACATTGACTGATATAATAAGTGTATATTACATGCTGTGTTCCATACTAGATACCTGTAGCAGAATGTAAGCTTACTTGGATATTTAAACCCCTTCAAGACTGAGCTTTTCTCAGTTTCTGTTCGTTAACGACTGACACACTTTTAAAATTTTTCCTGTGTGATTCTTCCACAGCAGTAATACACTTTCTTACTAAGTGCACCCACACATAATATATCATTTTTTTAGAGGACAGGTAGGGCTATATATTTACCGTATATCACATATGTGTGCCTAACGCCTCACGAATAAAATATTTTTCTAAATGAGGAAAAACCAAATACAAACACTTTTCCCCCCGTTTTGATTATTATTTTTTACAAAAACAGCACCGCTAAAAGAATGCATATAAATAAATTTACTTATTTGTCCTTTATTTGGAAACACCCCACAAGCCTAGGATTTCATACATTTTTCTGTACTTCTCAGCCTAAACTGAACGCTAACATTTAAATTTTTCTCTTTAAAAGCTAATAGTGGTCACCAGGTTAGACAGGTGGCATGCAATGTCACTGTCACTAAGTTTCACACTTATGATCGCGGCATACTTTGAACAGTGCTGTCATGAAAGGGTTAAATAAAACAAATTAACCCCTTAGGGTGAAAAACTAATCTGCAGATCAGCTGCAGATTTTCATTTTGAGGGGTTAATTTTTATAATAATTATAGTAATAATAATTTTAATTTTCTTAATTTAGTTTTATCTTTTCACACATTGTAACAGGGTAAGGGGTGTACATGACAAGCCAGTGTTTTTTATACCAAATATTTTTGTTAACATAAAAAAGTAAATTATATCAAGCAGTCATTGTGAATGGATGTCACTATTATTTGTCAAAACTAGAATCATTCTAGAAGGTCCATAAAGAGCCTAGTGAGGAGCATTCCCACTATACCAGCATGTGTAGCGTGTATTTTTTTTTCCAGTTAAATGATTGTTGGAAAATGATAATTTCCTTAATTTCCTTTTATCACTGCCTCATTTCTCCAATAATCAAGCAGAAGAAAGCAGTTAGAGGTACAGCACCTTACATCATGCTTACGTAGATGTTTTTTTCAGTCATAACACTATTTAAAAGTATGCAAAACCTTGAGGCACCCTGGTCTAAACTGTAAAAAGCAATGTAGTTCCTCCAAAACCATGCCAGACCCTTATCCCAGATAGGGGTCTTGTATGGATTTCAAATAGGGACTCCAAAAAAAAAACCACATTAAAAAAACCCATGGGCTTTACCCCTTCACATCAGAGTCTCCCTTTTAAATCAAGGAGCCCTCTTCACATCAGAAGCCTCCCCTTCACATCAGAAGCCCTTTTCACATCAGTGTCGCTCCTTCCCCCCTCATCCCGTTTGATGGCCCAACTGTCCCATTGAAAGCCATGACACGCCATGTGAAAATGCTGAGGCACCCCTGATGAAGCCAGAAGGCACCCCAGTGTGAGGAAAGGCTGCCTTAGATACAACACATCATACTCCACATCAATGTGCTTTTCCATGCATTGTACATTTTTTTATCGCAACAGTGGTATAAAGAAATGCAGAGATAAAGAAACATTAACCCATATGCATTATTAGACAAAAGACCATATATTCTGACCTGTGAATGGAACAGTAAAACTATAGAATGTTTCATACAAAAAGACGTGTCCATGAGCGTTAAAGGATTGTGTGCCAACATGCTCCATCTGGCCCTGGACATAGTATTCCTCTGTTCATGAGTTGAAGCTATACTTGTTGACTATAAGGAAATCTAATAGGTGGTAGAAGAAAAGACAAGTGATAGCTTCCATTATGGTAGTATGCAGCTGCAATACTTCCCAAACACCTGATTTCTACTGAATATTATAAAGAGTCTTGTCTGTATGAATTTTTATATCGTTTTCTTAGACATACATAGTGCTATTGGCATGGCATAAAACACCAATATAGATGCCATTATGAAGACACAAACTTTATTTTTGTTAGGCTTTTTGTAGTGTCTGTTTTCCATCTCTGCATTTCAGAGCTCATTTAAAATGGGTAATAGCTGCTAATGCACTGTAATGGCTCTCATTTGATTATGTCATAATAGGTTCAAAGCTAAAGTAGCTGAATGAGTTGTGTGGCTCTGCACTAGTTGCAGACATTCTCTAATATGAGTGGTGTAAGTTAAAAACTGCAACATAATGATGCATGTATTTATAACTTTAGTCCAACGCTGAGTTCCTGTGTAATGCTGTCTTGAGATTGTAACTGTAAGGCATATGAATGTGTTATTCATGCCGTATTTCTAAGTTGTTTAGAGGCAGTAGGGAGGAACTGAACCTTTTCCCCATAGACTAAGAGCTTGCACTTATTTCACAACTCCCAGGCCCCTCGGGTGCATTCATTTATCAGCCCTGGTGTAGACAAATGGAAATTAAAAGAATTCCATTAGAAGAGATTCCACTAAAGCTCTAAGCACAGGAAAACAAAGACAGTCTGTAGGCAATAATGATAATTGACATGTACTAAATGTTTCCTTATAAGAAAGAAATTAACTGATCACAAAGGGGACAAGTGAAGATTGCAATTTGCAAACAGCCTTAAAGCCCAATTCAAATTTCAGTTTACATAAGCTAAATATATTACAATTGCATCAAAACAAATACGGTTCAGTCTTACCGTTTGTTTTCTTTAAAAAGCAGACACAAACTTAGTAGAAAAGCCTGACCCCTGCCAGCATGATGCAGAATAGGACATATGGTCTCTGTAAAGAAGCAGAAATCTTTTTGCAAAGGTCGGAGTAAGAGCCAATGCTCTCCGTTCAGGAGAGAGCAAGAGCTTTGCTAATTGCAGAGCTAGACTGCTGCAGACAGACCACTGCTTCCAAAGAAAGCATGGGTCCAAATCAAAGCTGCTGGCAGGAGACCAGGATTTTCTACTCAGGGAGCACCTTTAGAAAGAAAACAAAGTTTACAATATTGAACACCACAGCAAGCACCACTCACATTCCAAAACTGGAATGCCTAGATGCAGGAAAAAAGCGTGCCACCACCTGTAATAACAAAATTCCAAAAATGCTGCACTTCACAGGTCTACATTGAAAGTAAGATTGTTTATTTACAAATAACAATACACACTGTATGCTCCTCTCCACAACCTCAACCCCTAACACGTTTTACCATATCGGCCTACTCATAGAGGCCTGTCTATGAGGGTATGCAGAGAGGAGCATATCTTTGTTGGCACTGACGCATCACTGTCTGGCTCCTTGTCCTGCTTCTCACTCTCCTAGTCTTAATTCTACTGTACAGTGTATTGCAAGAGGGTGATACAAAGTTACATTCAGGTACTTACACTTGAAAAAAATTATTGAATGAAGTATTATTGAATAGAGAATTGGATTACTTTGTGTCTTTTATATCTGCCTGGTGGGGCTACACCCAGGGGTGTATTCACCACAAGGTAAACAAGGCATTTGCCTTGTGCTGCACTTTCCTTGGGGCGGCAGAAATCAGTGAGGCAAGCTGGGCCGCTTGTTGGGCCTCACGCCAACCTAATTTGCCTGAGAGAGCTGCTCGGTACAGGAGGAGGTGGGGCCCGGGGCCCAGTGAGATGCAGCCTGGATGGCAGAGGTGGAGGAGAAGCTGCGTGCGGCTCGGGGTTGCCCATACCCCACTATCTGAGCATGGGATGTTGTGGAGGCAGGCTGGGGAGCTGCGGGTAAGAAAGGGACCCTGCACAGCCCACCTGAGACCCTGCACAGCCCACCACGGACCCCGCATAGCCCACCTGAGAGTCCGGCTTCCCTGCTACGCTAATAGCGCAACCTGACAGAAGCTGGATATAGCTGTATCCAACAACTGACAAGGTCATGCAAAATGTCTTAAACAGGAAGGGGTGGGGCAAATTTAGATTAGGGGTGCCCAAATTTTGTCTTGCCTAGTTCAGCACCAAACCTAAATACACCACTGGCTACACCAGCATTGCAAGGGTTAAGTGCTCATTTGTGTCTAGGTGCTAAAGAAAAAAAAAGTATACTCACCAGACCATCCAAGCCAGCTTGTTCTTAGACTGTTGCCTGGAGCGTCTCTCTCCTTTTGCTGCAGCAGTCTATCACGCTCTATACACTTTGCATAGACTGTATAGATGTGAGGACGCCGAGGAGCAGTCCATCTGTGCAGCAGAGTAGGAGTAGACACACTTCAGTGATCACAGAAGCAGAGAGCTGGTTCGGATGGACCAGTGCGAATAACTTTTTTTTAGCACCTAGACAAAAATGAGCACTTAACCTTTGCAGTGCAGGGGTAGCCCCACTGCAAGGGTTGATCATTTTTTCCCCTGGAGTTCTTCTTTACATTTCTC